CACAAGCGCATCCAGTGAGCTTGGTTGCTAGGCTCATCCAACAGACTCGGATCCTGGAGCCAGAAGTTTGTGTATAACCGAAGACGACGCTCCATAATAAGTCGCTGACGAATGGCATCGCGCCGTTCAGGATCCTGATCCTTGCATGTGAGGACAGAGTTCGCGGTGTGCCCTGCAGCGGGCTCCCGCAGGACCGCGCACCCTTGGGAGTGAGGGGCCGTCCCCTCTCCCGCGGCGCCTCCCACATCACACGCCTTCCGGGGCCAGCGCGACAGCCTGCCTGCCCTTGAAGTCGAAGAGCACGGGGCCGAGGTCGACGCCGAACCCGAAGCAGTAGATGCCGCAACCGACGAAGTAGTGGCCGTACCGCAAGCACATGTGGCGTCGTCTGACGTGCCTCCAGCAAGACGCGCGCCGCGGGATCCCGTGCTGAGGTCTTGGCAGAGCCAACCTGCAGCAGGTGCCGTCCGCGGGGTCATTGCCTTCGCAGGCACGGTGAGTGAGCGCCCATCGTATGAAGCCAAAGAGGACGAATAAGCACCAGTAGAGGTCGTCGCAGGCGGGAAAGAAGAAGAGGAGCCGCCTGCCGTCGAAGTGGACGGTACAGAGGAAAATGAACATGAAGAGGCCGATCTTGATAGCACACCGACAGGAGAGCTGCAGGTAGAACAGCTATTACACCCTTGACCATCATCAGCAGAGCTAGGAGCCCGACTCGCGAGCCTCAACCTTGGCCCGAGCAGCAGCCGCCTTAGCTCGTGCGGGAGTGGCAGAGCGCGCCTTCTCAATCCGCTTCTCCTTGTCGGTCGGCTCGGCACGGGCCTCAGCAGCCAAGGGCTCAGCCTTCGGCGCATCAGCCGCAGGCGCCTGAGAGGAAGCAGCACCCTGGCTGCCCGCACCTTGAGAAGCCGCGACCCCGGTTGCAACCGCGCCATCAGTAGTCTTGCGTTCTTACGCAGCTCACCCATCCGCTTCTGGTATTCCTCCTGCTGCGTCTTGTACTGGGATTTAATGCTCGTGAGCGCTCCGTGCAAGAGGTTCTTGACCTGCTGGGGCTGCTCGAGCTTGAACTTTTCGAATCCCTCGCGGTCCTCGGCCGAGAAGGCTGGCCCCGAGACGTCCAGCTCTTCACCAAAGTCGAGCTTGATCTCATCAGCGGAGTCCTTGAAGAGGGCGTCGAGGGAAATGACGTTCTTGCTGGAAATGGGCTCAGCAGGCTTGAGAACTCCGACGGCAAGCTTACGAGTGGCCTGCTCAAGTATGTCAGCGTTCTCCAGGTCCCTCGCCATGAGCTCATCAAGGTGCTTGTCCAGGTCGCTGACCTCCTTGTCCAGCGCCGCGCGGCGCGCCAGGGCCTTGTCAAGCTTCTCCTTGGAAGCCTTCTTGGCCTGCGAGGCACGCTGCCACTCGGCCTGAGGTGTCGCCCGGGGCTGGGGCGGCGGCTTGGGCGCGAACTGAGCGAGCAACTTCTGGGCCAGGTCGGGCGCGAGGTGCGACGCAGCCTCCTTGACAGCCGCGAGAGCTTGAGGAGGAATGGCCTCAGATGGGCCCTGCTGCACCTGCTGCGCCTGGGTACCCTTGCGCCAGCGATCCTTGGACTTGCCGCCTCCCTCACCCCATCCAGACTCCTCAGCACCGGTGTACAGAAGCATCTGGCCGCCGACGCCGACAGAGGAGCTGAGCGGGTGGTGCTGGGACTGGCACCCGACGCAGAGATTGTGCCGCTTGGCCAGGAGATCATTCCAAGTCCAATGGCCACAAGAGCACGCAGTGTACAGCCGAGCACCACGATTCTGCCCAGCCTTGGCGCCCCCAGGCGGAACTCGGATCCAGGGCTGCCTCGTCCAAGTTTCCTCCGCATCATCGGGGATGCGCCGCGGGGCAGGGGCCATCGCAGCGCCGTAGCAACTAGCTCCGTCAGGAGCACGCGAAATATGGGCTGCCAGAAGCCCGTGCAGTACTGGCAAAAGCTGTCAGGCGCAAGGCCTTGGCACTGCTGCGGACTAGCAGCTTCCAGTTCGGCACGAGGGCGCAGAGCCCTCAGGTGCAGCATTCTTGAGCCAAAATGGCTACGGAGGAGGAGGGGTTGGAGGAGGAGGAGTAGGAGGAGGAGGAGGAGGAGCATCGGCCCACCTCTGGAACCGCTACCTTACCAGGATCTTGTCAAGCCTCTCGAAGCTTATCTAGCCAGCTTCACGGATGCATCTGGCACCACTCGGACAGCCGAAGGACAGTATCGGAGGCAAGGTTCGGAGCTTCTCACGACGTTTTGAGGGGAATGGACCAGTCGGATTTGGGGTGAAGCTCTCGAGCCGATCCAGGCGTTGCCCAAGGGTCTCCAGCCATGGATCCCTATGCAGTTCACCTCCAAGCCTTTGGCCCAGCTGCCCACCACGAAGCACTATGCAAAGAAGCTGCCGCATAGGGCCATGACTTGGGTTTTGGACCGGTGTGCCGAAATACGAACTCTTGGTCTTTCGCCGTCGGCTTTCAACCTCATGCGCCACTGGAGCCTCCTTCCCAAAAATGGCGGCCCTTTTCGGCTGTTCTGGCGTGAAGTCCAAGTTTTTTGGTACGACTTGTTGGGGCAGATCTTCACCTATCTGAAGACGGCGTCGAAACAGGATTCCTTGGTCGTCCTCTCGGGTCTAGAAGAGGTGCGCGCGCTTATCCGTGGCACATGGCTTCCCAAAGAGGCTACTATGAGGTGCGAAGCCTGGGCAAAAATGGTACTCGGAGGCTCTCAAAGGTACTGGGCGGCAGATCTTCAGCTACCGCAGAGGACGGAACAAGGGTGAGGCAGCAGTCTTTCCAGTAGAACAGGGCTTCTCTTCTTCCCTCTCTGTCGAGATGGATCAGGAGTGGAACAAGTGAAACAAAACATGGACAGGAAAAGAGGACTGGATGGCGACACAGCATGGTACGCCAATCTCCCCCAGCTCTAGGCCCACCGCTCCCCACCATCGGCATGATCAAAGAGTGCTCGCGGGCCCTCGAAGCACGGACCTGTATGCTAGACGGTTTCCACCCTCGTCGCTTCGCTCTCGCGTCGGGTGGAGGGCAGTATGTGACGTGCCTCCTCTTCCAGCTCTCCCAAGTAGTAAGTGCTCATCCTCGCCAAGTTCGGGAGCTTCTCGTGCTTCTCGCGAGGAGAGTGAATGGAACCGACAGGAGGCTCACAGGTCACTACTCCGCTTTCGCCAGGATGGAAGGCAGCTGCCTTTGCAGAGACGCCAAGGAGTGGGAGGACTTGTGCGGGACTGGAGCAGCGTACAGCAAAAGCAAGGGGAGGGGCGCCGGTGACATGCTATGGATAGCAGCGTTCGGGGCAGAAGGGCGGGCAGCAGATCGCATGCACGTTCTCACGATGCTCGGGGACATGACGTACTTCTATGAACATCAGGGAGCAGATCTCCTCTACCGTGACCCACATGATATGCAGTACCAACTGTATGCTTCGAGGCTTGCTCTACGTTTGCAATCCATAACGCGAAGGGTTCTCCGTAATGGCGCCGTGGGACCAGCCATATATCCATGCAGAGGTGTGCTAGCGGGTTCTAAGACGGCGACGAGTGAGGCGAACGCGTCTGTCATGCCCATGCCCGACCAGATCACATCCAGCACTGTAGAAAATGCCGTAGCCTTCATTCGCATGGATGGTACCTCGACCAACGCCTGGCATTTCACAATGTGGAAGAGAGCATTCAGACTTTATGGAGGCTTGGGACCAGGCTTAAGAGAGGGCCCCAGGTACTCAACCTCCCTCTTGCAGCCGACGAGCTCGCCATGGCGGCCAGCGTTGAGCCCCTTCTCACAAGATCTCCGAGGGGGCCTTGCAGGTGCTCCTCTCCAGGCAGCGCCATGCTCGGGGATAGATTTCGCTTCAGGCAAACGCGCGAGGCGTCAGGCAAACGCCACCCGGAAGGTCAGATGGGCAAAGGCAGTTTCGAGGCTCTGCCGCCTTCTGGCCCGCTTCTCTATATTCCAGGTGTGCGCTCAGCTCTGACGCGTGGAGGAAAGTTGCACGGTCGCGCGCCCGCTGAGATCGACCGACTACGTTCGATGACGAGGACTGTTCCAGGACGCCAGCTTCGAGGAGCCCGTGCGGATATTCGGTGGCAGGTCACCGGGGCCCCAGACCCCATCGCCCTCGCGGTCAGCAGTTTAGAGCGCTACTGTCGTTTCGGGGAGGGCAGAGTTCGGGGCTCACGCGGATGGGCTGGGCCCTAAAGAGCTGCGTTCCCTGTTTTACTCAGTGCGAAAACAGTTTCAGGCCTCCGCCAGTGCTTCTTGGCATGGTCTTTCTTCGGGCCTTATTTCTGATATGTTTCTCTGGCTTCAGAAAGCAGGTTCGCATTTCCAGACCCCCGCTGCGTTGGCCGCGCGTCTGGGCTCCACCCTGAACATCTCCGAGGTGCCTCGCTTCGCCATCTCTTGCACGCTCTCGTCGGCCCTGGGCGACCAGGTGGCCCAACAGGATGTAAGGATAGAGCTGGGGATGACACTTCCACCCCCTCCCTCGCCAGCCTGCCAGGAATGGGGGCATAGACTGGGCCCAGATCAGTTGCGGCCTCCGTTGTGCTAGGAGAGGGCTCGCACCAGAGGAAGATACATGCCTCAGGCATTCTATCTGCTGCTCCCTTATCGCAGACCAGGTCCTCTCAGGATGGAAATGCGACCTCCGGCCGGCGTGTCCATGCTGTGCGGCCATGGGCGTGCCTTCTCATCTACTATGAACCTGAAGCTTTGGCAAGGATTTTCGCGAAGAAGTATTAGGCACAGATGTTATTTCTGGGGCGCTGGAAGTTTCGAGTCCCTACGCCCACCCGTGGCCGCCGCAGGTTAAGCTGGGCTCCCTTGTGGAAGAATGGGGCGCGCAGTGTGAAGATGCTAGCAGGCTCTGTGGACCCTTCCAGTTCGAAGCCAGCTCGGCGATTTTCACGGGCGGGCCTTGTGCCCATCCCACCTCCCCATCTCTTGCCAGAGCAGGGGTTGCAGCCATGGAGCTCGGCGAATATGACGCGTTCAGGCGAGGCGTGTGCAGCGGCCTCCCTTCCTTCGGTGGGCAGACAGGTGTGGGCGCAGAACATGGGGCCTCTTGACGGCTGCGCCGCGCTCTGTGGCGGCGAGTGTGGGCAAGTGAATTGTTGACTGCTCAGCCCTCAGGAAGTTCATCAAAGCCTGCGTCGATGGTCGCGAGCCCTTCGCACGAGCATGGCGACGTGCGTCGCGCGCTTTACCTCGGGGCGAGTGGATCAGCTTAGTGAAGACGAGAGGTCGCGCGAAGGAGGGGGCTATAGACGAGAGGGACAGGAGGTGCATCCCAGGGAACGAGGCAGCGTGCCGCTATGCAGGACAGGGAGCCCGCGGCCGCCCTGCAGCGCCACAGGGTCTTGCTCCGCATGCTGCGGCGCATGTCTTGTATCCGGATGTCTTGGTTGGGGCCGGCAAGGGTCTGGGGGCCCGCCAGGGGTCCGACGATCCCTGGGGGGGGGGCTCGAGAAGCTCCCTAGCGAGCCCAAACCACGCCCCGCCGACTCGTTCGTGAAGGGCGCCGCTGTCAGAGCTGTCTTCGGATCGTCTCCCCCAGGGCGAAGTTTGCATGCCGGGCGCCGTCTCCAGCAATGCAGGAAGTATTAAGGCAGCATTAGCGCGTGCACCATTTTCTATGCGGTGGTTGGTTGGAGAACAGTTCCTCGTGGCTTTTTGCAATCGCTGTGGAGGTCTCAGTGCCCATCGATGCTCCAAGAAGCTTGCTGGCCCCATGGGCTGCGTCAGGAAAATCAGACGTAATTTAGGAAGCTTAGGCAAAGCGTCTTCCCCGGCCCACTGTGTGGATCAGTCGATTTCCAACTTTGCAAGGACAAGGGTAGTTGCGCGTGCAGTTGGGCTGGGGTAGTAAGGGGTTGGGTGGGATATGTTGCCTGCCGTCTGCTTGTCTCCTCTGCCTCGGCGAAGGCCCATTCTGGGACTGGGGGGCCCCCGCGCCAGTGTGTGGGGATCAGGGCGCAGGGCTGCCCTGGCGCAGGGGAATGTTTGACGGAGAACTGTTCATGGTGGGTCTACCTTTCGCGATAGAGGGAGATTGACGACGACGTCCTGGACTGCTCCTCCTGCCAGGTTCCGTTCTGGGTGCCCGCCGAGGCACTGGGCGAGCTACGGCGCCGACGTGCAGATCGGGGGGCCGCGGTGTTCAGCTAGGCCTCGTCCGTCCCTCCAGGAGCCCGGCCTAGCTCCCACACCCAAAGTCTCCATCCCCAAAGCGGCGGCCCCCCGTCCCGCTTCCTCCTCCGTTCCCTGCAGAGCTGGAGGCAATGGCGAGGGCCCTGGGTGGGGCAGCCGCCCCCCAAGGGCTCGGCCCAGGGCCGCGGCGCCCTTTCAAGCGGGCCCCAGCGGGGCCAAGTCGTCGACCCGAAGGCCACCTCTGCTCAAGGGCTTTCCGCCCCGTTCTGCTTTTCCAGCGAAAGTGGGCGCGGTTCCCCCCCTGCCAGGGCCGGCAGCCCGCAGCGTGCAGCGCTGCAGCGGGCGCGCCTGTGCGTGCAGGCGGTCTGAGTAGCAGTCCGCGGTTGGAAGGAGGTGCGCTGAGTTCGCGGCCGTGTCCAGAGGCGGAAGGATTGGCGTGCCAAGGGGCTGCGCCCTTCCTTCGACTCGTACACGGATTGAACTGCGGCGGGGACTTTTAAGATGATTTTGGAGGATTTTTTGCAGGTTCCTACCTCGCGGGAGTAAGAAGCACCAGCGACCCTTTCCGCCTGTTTGCGGCCCCAGCCACCTCCCACCCAAGGCACTGGAATTGCCCGCCGAGGGGGCTTTCGGGGGCTTGATGAGGAGCGCGTTTTGAGGCTTCAACGGTGCCTACTCTCTTTCCCTCTTATCCTCCCTTCTGCTTAGGCGCCGTCTTGGCCTTTGCCTCGTTTTGGCCTTCTCTTCCCCCCTCTTCGCTCCTCCACCTCCCGTGGTGTGGCTTTGGCCAAACCCGCTGGAGACGCTTCGGGTGGAGGAAGGGGTGGCGAGAGAAGGTGGGTATGGGGTCACAATGGCGACGACGGCGGTGGCGACGACGTGCCGAGACGGCACACTGTCGCCATTCCGCCGTCGCTGGTGCAGGCCTTCTTTTTGTGACGGCATTCCCTGATCCCGTATAATTCGACCCCCTGTCTAGTCAGGCCGAGTGGGTAGGGTGGGAACACCTGAGTAGGGGCCTTGCCCCCTTTTCTTCACCCCCCCACCCCGAACCTCCCGCGGCAGGAGATGTCTGTCAGGAGGTCAGGGGCCTGGGCCGGGGCTCATGGTTTCGGTTGCGCCTGCTCTCCCTCTTCCTTCGTGTCCTCCCTCCTCTCGGCCTTCCTTCTCCTCCATTGCCGCCTTAACCCTTGGGAGTATCCTGCCTTTTTCTTTTTTTGGGGGTCTTTTTCATGGTCCTGGAGTGTACTTAGGACTCAGGTGTGTAACCGTGCAACCGAGAGTCGTGTGTGTGTGTGTGTGTGTGTGTGTGTGTGTGTGTGTCGGGTAGGTGGGTGGGGGCGAAAGGAGGGAATGTGATGATGTGGATCATGACGGTGATGAGGAGGGGAGGGAGGACGTAATCAACAACCCACATGGAACGAGGAAACGGGGAGAGATACGGGAGGGGGAAACGCTGACGCGGGTGAGGGTGATAACGGTGATGTTGATGATGATGCGGATGCTGCTGATGATGCTGATGAGGAGGAGGAGGATGATTATGGGAAGGATGGTGAGTAGGATGTGATAGCACCGATATGGTCGTACTGACGATGACGATGAAGGTGCTGCTGCAGATGGTGGCGAGGACTCGGATGATGGTGAGAGCAATGATGGTGGCTGTGATAGCGGTGACGATGGCGCAGGTGATGATGACGTCGATCATGGCAATGACGGCGGCAAAACAGATGAGAATTTTGATGACGAGGGTCAGTTGCATTGCCACGGGGAATGCTCTGGTGCCGATATGTTTATACTGATGATGAGGGCGACGCTATTTATGGTGGCGGTGAGGATGGTGAATGCGATGATGTGAGGTGGGCGGATGGCGAGGATGATGATACGGGTCTTGAGTGAGGAACAGTGACTTGGATGATGGTGCGCATGTTGAGGAGGAATGGAAGGAGGAGAAGGAGGAGGAGGAGGAGAAGGCGGAAGATGATGTGGAGGAGTAGGAGGAGGAGTAGGAGGAGGAGGAGTAGGAGGAGGAGGAGGAGGAAAAGGAGGAGGAGGAGAAGGAGGAGGAGGAGGAGGAGGAGGAGGAGGAGGGGGAGGGGCGGCGAGGAGGAGGACGAAGGAGAGAGGAGGAGAGGGAGGAGGAGAGGGAGGAGGCGGAGGCGGGGGCGGAGGCGGAGGAGGCCGAGGAGGAGGAGGAGGAGAATGAGGAGGAGGAGAAGGATGATAAGGTGGATGAGCAGCAACATCATTGGAACGAAGATGGGATGCCGACGATGAGGCGCGGAGGAGAAACATTAATTTACGACTGAGGATGAAGGTGAATCTGACGTGCACAGGAGTATGAACATTATGATGGTGATGATGAGGATGCTGATGATGACGGTAATGATGCCGATGATGATGGTGATGTTGGATACGATGTTGATGATGGGGATGTTGTTCAGGATGCTGCTGCTGATGATGATGCTGATGATGATGACGTCGATGATGATGATGATGATGATGATGATGATGATGATGATGATGATGGCGACGATGATGATGATGATGATGATGATGATGTTCATGATGTTCATGATGATGATGATGATGATGATGATGTTGATGATGATGATGATTATGATGCTGCTGATGATGATCATGATGATACTGACGATGACGATAGTTATACTGATGATGGTGATGATGATGCTGATGACGATGCTGATGATGATACTGTTCTTTATGATGATGCTGATGATGACGATGACGATGATGGTTGCGATAATGATGGTGATGGTGATACTGATGATGATGCTGATGACGATGACGATGATGGTGACGGTGCTGATGACGCTGATGCTGGTGATGATTGTGATGACACTGGTGATGATGATGTGGGTAATGATGATGACGATGCTGATGGTGATGATGATGCTGCTGCTGATGATAATTATGATGCTGATGCTGCTGATGATACTGATGTTGATGATGGTGATGATGATGCTGATGATGATAATGATGATGCTGCTGCTGATGTTGACGGTGATGATGATTGTGCTGCTTATGCTGCTGATGATGATGTTACTGATGATGATGATGACGATACTGCTGGTGATGATGATGATGAGGACGATGATGATGATGATGGTGCTGACGATGCTAATGCTGACGTTGATAATGACGATGCTGATGATGATTATGATGATGACGATGCTGATGCTGATGCTGATGCTGCTGATGATGCTGATTCTGATGCTGATGCTGATGATGATGCTGCTGCTGATGATGATGGTGATGATGTTGCTGGTGATGATGCTGATGGTTATGCTGATGCTGATGATGATGCTGATGCTGCTGATGCTAATGATGATGATGCTGATGACGCCGGCGATACTGATGTTGATGGTGATGATGATACTGCTGGTACTGATGATGATGCTGATGATGATAATGATGCTGATGATGCTGATGCTGATGCTGCTGCTGATGATGGTGATGATGCTGCTGATGATGCTGATGGTGATGATGATGCTGATGATGATGCTGATGCTGCTGATGCTAATGGGGATGATGCTGATGACGCTGACGATACGGATGTTGGTGGTGGTGATGATGATAATACTGCTGATGCTGATGATGATGCTGCTTATGATGATGATGCTGCGGATGAGGATGATGACGAGGATGAGGATGAGGATGGTGATGATGATGATGATGATGATGATGATGATGATGATGATGATGATGATGATGATGATGATGATGGTGATGAGGATGAGGATGTTGATGAGGCTGCTGATGATGATGATGATGATGGTGATGGCACACAGGAGGAGAA